ATCAGGTCAGCTGAAAACAACACCAACAGAAGCACTGCGCTATGAGACCAGAACTAGGCTCTTCACCGCCTATACAAAAAGAACATGCCTCAAGTCTGTAGAGATGGCAAAGCGATTGCCAGACAGCCATCCTAGAAAAAAAGCCCTTGATCAAGCAGTCAAGCCTAAAAACAGCAGGAAAGGTTGGTTTCAGATGAGCACCGACCTTGCAGTCTACCTCCTCCCTGAAGCAGAGAATAGATGGCCTATCAATCTGGTGAGCGTTTTGTCCATGGGAGACCCATGGCGAAATCGAAATTTGGACAGAATTGAGAGGAGCGAAGAGCAAAGGCGATGATCCAGTAAAGGCACGTGAAGCTGCAGAGGATGTAATCAAGGAGGTTGGTGCCGATGTGACAATGTTCACTGATGGATCGGCTGTCACAGGATACCGCGAAAATGAAGCAGAAGCAGTAGAGATAATGAATGATGAACCACCTCGAACAGAAATCGTTAGAACTAAAGGAGCATTCCACACGTTAGAACTAAAGGTGCATTCCTTATTACGGGCAATGACGTGTGCAGCACAATATATTGTTGACAATTGCCACAGGAGAACCAAAGTGCTGATCTTGACTGACAGTAAGTCCCTTAGCAAGGGACTGCTAGGCAACAGCTCAGACATAAAATGATGTGCGTCGCAAGTTAAGTGAAACCACAGACGCAAAAAAGATCCAGTGGATTCCAAGCGATGTTGGAATCGAAGGAAATGAGGCAGCAGACCAAGCTGCCAATGAAGCCAGAGAGATTGAAGGAGATAGAAGACCAATAACATACAGGGGAACCTTTCCAATGATCAAAGGAGAATCAGAGATACCGTGCAGAGCTGAGTACAAGCACCTGGAGGATGTGTATTCTGGGCACTCCATTAAGCAGGAACAATTTACACATGTCGCTGGGACCAGGTTGAGCTAGCGAGACTGCGTTCCGACCATAATTGAAGCACGGGATGGTATCAGAAGTTTGTGAAGGGAGAGCTCAACCTACGTTGCCGAAAATGCAGCAATGAAAAGGAAGATGTCAAACATGAATGTCCAGGAGCAATGGCAATTCGAGTGAAATTATTTTGACGAACGAGTGGAAGTGCCTCTGAGTATAATGACAATGGAGCCGAAAAAGAGCCTCGTTCTCGCTCGAAGATTTCTTCGTCGAGTCCACCAGGCCCACTAAGGAAAGAAAAAAAAATCATCATCATCATCATCATCATCATCATCATCATCATCATCATCATTTCAATCAAACAATTCATCAGTTATTTCCCCTTTTCGCCCACAGCTATTTCCCCACAAAAAATTCACCAGTTATTTCCCCTGTTGTCCACAGACAATGCATCAGTTATTTCCCTTGTGCCTGTTGGTAGCAGCGGCTGTTGCCTCCCCTGCCAACTACCAAATGTCGGCGCTCGGTGACGACATGATCTTCTACATCAACCATGTTGCCAACACTACCTGGAAGGTAAACATTGTATGGAGTCGGAAAAATTACCCCCTTTTTTGATATTCTGGCCAAAAGTGAATTTTGCTTTCAACTTGCCTATCAACTTTCGAGTGTTTTTTTTTGCACTCCACTCCTTTTCCCAACCCTATAAAAGCAGGATACACACACATATTCCTCCCCCTTTCTCACACACAAACACATTTTAAATGTTATATCTAAACGCTGAGAAACTCATTTGTCAGACTCCTTATCTCAGTACAGATTGAGATTTTTTGAAGTGTGCTAAACAAATGTTAG